TTAACTAGAATTAGAACTAGATCTTGAATTGAAATTAGAATTAGAATTGTAAGTAGAAGTAGAATTAGAATTAGAACTAGAATTAGAATCGGAATTAAAAATAGAATTAAAACTAGAACTTGAATTGAAATTATAATTAGAATTGGTAGCAGAACCAGAATTAGAATTAGAATTGGAATTGGAATTGGAATTGGAATCGGAATTAGAATTAGAATAACAATTAAGATTCAAAAATATCATAAAGCGTTATTTTTGGCACTAGTTTTAACACATTATCATCTCACATTGTGAATGGTAGAACTAACACGTTTAGAACAAGTTGCTCGATAATACATCATCCCTTAAACTGAAGGGATCCCCCCTCCCCCCTCTCTTTTGGTACACCGAAGGCAACTAACCCTAGGGGCCGTAACGCTTAAGCTTAACATTTCTCACCCCCCACCCCATCCCTCTTTCATAGACTTAAAAGGGTGACGGGGTTCCTTCTTGAACCCTTTCTCTCTCACTTGGCATTCTTTCTCTCTGTCTTTCTCTTAACTCGCACTCGACAACCCTCCTCTCATTAGTCTTCATTTGTTTTCGGAATTATCGCCTCCGACTATAACTGGCACGCGAGTTCTGCCAAAAGGGTGGTGAACCGTTATTTAAGGTTTATTAAACTGAAAATATGTTACCGGTTAGCCCCAATTTAAGTTCGGGATTTTTTTCTCCTTCTCCTCTCTGTGTATTTTTTTGTTTTCAATTTTTGATTATTTAATTTTTTTTTAATCATTTATCAAATTGAGACAAAAAAAAACGTATTAAAACGTTGCAACGTTTTGATACGTTTTTTTGGCTCAATTTGGTATTCTTTGAAAAACTGATTAATGATTAAAAAATATAAAACGTATGAAAATGCTTTCTAAGTTTTTTAGTTTGTTAATTTAAATTTACTAAGTTTTAGTTTTGTTAGTTTATTCTAATTTGTTAAGTTTAGTTTAGTTTTTTTATTTTAATTCGCTAAATTTATTTTGTTTAGTTTAATTTTCTTAATTAAGTTTGTTTAGTTTAGTTATAAAATTTAAACTCTAGTTTTCTTATTTTAGTTTTAAAATTTAGTTTTCTTATTTTAAGATTGTTTAAAATGTTTGTTGAAAGAAAATTAATCTTTATCGAAAATTTTATCTATAAAAGAAAAGAGGAAGAGAAAAATTTCCAAAAGTTGTTTTTAATTTCGTAAAGTCTAAGTTTCTAATTTCATTGAATTTAAAAAACTTAAAGTCAAACAATTTTCAGAGTTGAAATATCTTCTCTTTGTATTGGTAAGTTTGGAAGTGGAGAAGCTTTTCGAGTTTCGTTGTCTCCTATCGCTTTCTTAATCCTCTTCGTTTGCTGACTCGTTTTCTTTTCTCGTTGGCGCTCTCACCCTTTCACTCTTTCTTTCTCTCTCTCTTTTCTATTTTCTCTCTCGCTCGCCTTCTCATCGAGAGAGTAAAGAGAGAAACTCTTTCTCTCTTGAGAAAAGAGAAAAGATAAAGAGAGAGAAAAAGAGAAGGAGAAAAGAGAGAGAGAAAAGAAAAAGAGAATAGAGAGAGAGAGAGAGAGAAGAGAAAAGAGACAGAAAAAGAGAAAAGAGAGAGAGAGAGAGAATAGAGAAAGAGAAAATAGAAAGAGAGAGAGAGAGAAAAAAGAAAAAGAAAAGAGAGAGAGAAAGCAGAAAGAAAGAGAGAGAGAGAGAAATGAAAACTATAGAAACAAGCAGCACGCCAAAAGAGATAGTGGTGTCGTCCCTGGCAATCCGGTTTAAAGAGAGTTTAAAAATTTCCCCTTTAACCCCTGACGAGCTTTTTCAGTTGCACCCCCACCCCCCACCTCTCACTCACTCTTCGTGAAACTACCACAGTGCCCCCTACCCCTTCGAGGGGAGCTTTGCGGCCAACCAATCCGGTAGGCCACAATCTCCGCCCGCCACGCCCACGCACCAGTGACTCCGTGTCCATCCCCACCCTTTAATTTCCCCAGCTTTTTACCCCTCTATCCCCACTAATTCCACCACTAGACTCTTGAATATCATCCCTCTTTCCATAGAGCTTTCGTGTCTCCATCTCTTTCGTATTCTCCGGTATTCTCCTTGTCTCCCACCTGATGTTGGCTTCACAGCTTTCAGGAAAATTTTTCTTTCTTTTTTTTCTTTCTTTCTTTCTTTTTTTTAACTGTCTTGTGCAGACGTTGCTATAATCTATTATTGATCAAGTTTTTTTTTCTATATAAAAATAGATATATACTTACTGATTCCTCGATATTCTACTCTTAAGAGTTAAGAATAAGATGATTTTCAGCGTCTTGAATTTTTATCGTCGTTGGACTTTTCTCATTTCGTGGAAAATTATAAATTTTCGCTGAATTTTAAATTGTAATTTTTTAATTTTTTAATATTTTTTTAAATTAAAATTAATTTTAAATATAATAAATGAAAATAACTAAATTCTTTTTCTCACTGAAAACGATGAATGAATGAACAAATTAAAAAAATAATGTTTTAATACTAAGAATAATAACAGTTGTGTATAATAATAATAGACAAATTTATAGTTAATAAAATTAATTATTACTATTGTTAATTCAGTATTTAACGCTTGGTTTAAAATTATTTTTCACAGTAAATATTTTTTTATTCTTATGCTTTGTTTTGTTAAAAATAAAAATTTTAAATAATTAAAGAAAAAAATATCAAAAGACTATAATTATTATGTTATAATTTTAATATAATACATAATTATTATTAAATTATTCTTTTATAAATTATTTATTATTATTATTATTGTTTTCATTTTTAAATTTTTAATTAAAAATAAATAATGCAAATTTTTATTTTTATTTGGAAATCTTGACGAATTTATGATTTGAAAATAAATGGAAATTAAACGAAACATTTTTTTCTAAAAGAAAAAAAAAATTAAGTTTAAAAAAAAAGATTTTTTACTAGACCGAGAGGGCAAAATTGTTTTTAAGAATATTTTTTTTTCTCCTTCTGAATATAAATCAAACACAATCAATGATAGAGGCGTGTAGAAATGTTATTTAGTAGATAAATACGAGTTTACTATTTGCATGAGGGTATTGGACCATTACTCTACGAGAGTAGACTAGATTCGCCTGAATTGCTTGATTTTCTAGTGTCAACCAGTCTACGTGATTTGCATATATATTTAAATAAATACAATTTATCTCAAAGCCTGACTAAATTCAGAGTGCTGTAAATTTAATTCGATAATTTAAACAATAGTTTCTGTTTCAAAAAAAGAAAAAAAAATTATATAAATTTAAAAAAGGAAAATTGAATTATCTCTTTATTATTTGTAAAAAATAATTTTTACTTTCAGGGGAATTTAATAAATTATAATAATAGTCTGACTTGAAATTACGTTTACTACTATTTTTCTCTATTTCTAAATCTTTTAGTTTTACTATTTTTCTATTTTTTTTAAGAAAAATTTCTTTAAGATTGTCTGACTATTCTCTATTTTTTACTACTGTAACAGAAATTTTAATATTCAGACAACAAAATAATATTAAGTAGATAACAAAATTTTCTATATTTTTATCTGACTAAACTTGATTTTTACTTCGCTAAAGTTTTTTTTTTCACTACTTTAGATTTAATAATCACGTCTGACTATACTTGATTCTTACTACTTGAAAAGGAATTTTAATAATTATGTCTGACTATATTTGATTTTTACTACTTATATTAAATTTGTAATAATTACGTCTGACTATACTTGATTCTTACTACTTGAAAAGGAGTGTTAATAATTATGTCTGACTATATTTGGTTTTTACTACTTATATTAAATTTTTAATAATCACGTCTGACTATACTTGATTCTTACTACTTGAAAAGGAGTGTTAATAATTATGTCTGACTATATTTGGTTTTTACTACTTATATTAAATTTTTAATAATCACGTCTGACTATACTTGATTCTTACTACTTGAAAAGGAGTGTTAATAACTATGTCTGACTATATTTGGTTTTTACTACTTATATTAAATTTTTAATAATTACGTCTGACTATACTTGATTCTTACTACTTGAAAAGGAATTTCAATATTTATGTCTGACTATATTTGATTTTTACTACTAATATTGAATTTTTAATATTTGTCTGACTATACTTGACTTTTATTATTAGAACAGGAGTTTTAATAATTACGTCTTACTATATCTGATTTTTACTACTAATATAAAATTTTTTATATTTGTCTGACTAAATTTGATTTTTTCTACTAGAATAAGCGATTTAATAATTACGTCTGACTATACTTTATTCTTACTACTTGAAAGAAATTATAATAATTTGGTCTGACTGTACCTGATTCTTACTACTGGAAAGAAATTTTAATAGTTATGTCTGACTTAACACGATTTTTACTACTGGAACAGGAGTTTTAATAATTATGTCTGACTGAAGTTGAGTTTTACTACTAGAAAAGGATTTTTAAGAATTATACCTAATTATGTTATTTTATTTTATTTTACCTTATCTTTACTACTGTAAGAGAAATTTTAATATTTATATGTCTGACTATACTTGTTTTTTCTACTTGGAGTAAAAAATTATTTATTTTTATTGAATATTGAAGATATCTTAAAATAAATTATTAACAAATTTGATAATTTCCACAGTATTATTGTCTGAGAAGAATAGACTTTCTCCACTAATATTATTGAGAATCGCCTTTTTTTGTAATTCTTACAATATAATTACAGTTAAGATAACATAATTTTAATTATAGTATTAAAATTAAATTTATTAATTTTGTATAAGTTTGTCTTTCAAAACAAAAATTTAGTAAAGTAAAATTATCAAAAAAAAAAAAATTACTATAAAACTATAATGAGGAATCAGAATTTTTACAAAATATTTTTCAAAAAACCCCAAACAAATGTAAATTGATAAAAAAAACTTGAAGTAAAATAGAAATACTTAGTTACGAGTTTCTTTCCATTACGCAGGTTTGCAACACCTGAGTCTGGATCAAGGAGGTGGACAAGGGTGGGGTGGTTTACCTAGAGGGGCACTTCCCCCACACTGTCTTCCACCACCGCCCGGTCATCACTCGCATACTCACCCCACTACGGGGGCAGCCTCGGCCTTCAATCCCTTCCACCATTCCATTGAACAAAGATCTCCAAGGATGCAAGGATCCGCCACCAACGGTAAGGAAATTCTTATAATACACCCAACAGTTATTTCACTGACGAACTTTTCATATTATAATAAAAATTCCTCTTTCAATTTTTATCAAGAAACGAAAAATAGAATTTAATGAATAACATTTTCCCAGAATCCCAGGGATAAAAATTCCTCCTTCGTCTTTGTAACCATTTTTTTCATTTTTTTTTTCTTTTTGCGGAATTTTAATGATTTAAACTGAGGTTTTTAAAAATTCAAGAGTTGCAGTTTAATTATAGAAAATTCTTCTTCTGATGAAAACAATATTCAAAAGGTTCTTTAAGAAGAAACAAATTCTTTTTCTAATAAAAAGAATTTTTTTCTTCTTAAAGAACCTTTTCAAAATTTTTTTTGAGAGGAACAAAAATAAATTTTCGATTTTATCGAACGAATATGTAATAAACGAAAAATTCCTAAATTGACGTTATTAGATTCGTGGTTTGAAATCGAAATAATTAGAATTAGTTTCAAAATCAAATTTAGGAAATGAATGATTAAATGATTACGGTTATTACGATTCTAAATATTTCTTGCAGTACTTAAAAGCATTTAATTTATAATTAAACTATGAATATATAATTGATCGTAAATAAATAAATCAATATTTAATGGTGGCGGAAATAGTTTTTGGAATAAAAATAAGAAAAGGAATTCAATGATTCGCTGAATTCGAAATAGAAGAGGTCAGTAATTAAGCGATTTGCATTTGCAGACTCCCCGAGAAATGACCTTGGACCCATTAGTGTCTCGGTTCGAGAAGCGACTCCAAATGCTTCGCCAGCAAATCCTGGTCCTGGTCTTCTGACTACAGCTTCCGTTACGGCACCAACGCCGCCGGCAGAATCCACTACAACTGCTCCAAGTCCCTCTGGACATCACTCCCACTTTCAAGGTTTGAATTCTTTCGAAAATTTTAAAACCTACTTCTTAAAAAGTAAATTTTCTTAAATCCTGACCTCTAGAAGTTATAAGGAAAGTTTTCGAAATCCTAAAGGTCAGGATTATGAAAAAATTTTATTTTTCTGAAAGTTTTCCTCAAATGAAGGCAAATTGTAATAGGAAAGAAAACTAAATACACAATTTTCATTGTTATTGGAAAAGGACCCAGCTGAAAAAGGACTGTATTTCACAGGGCTCGAACTAGGTCCGTAAATCCCGAAAAGGTCCATAAATTTGCTTCAAATCCGTAAAAGTCAGTTTCTTTGAAAAAAAGGACCGTAAAGTCCGTAATTTGATTAAAAAGGGACGAAAAGTTTGTAAATTGAACGGTATAATTTGGAGAATTTTAGAGAAATTCCATTATTTTCAAAAGTAATAAAATTCTTCGCAGAAATTCGATAATTTTCAAAAAATTTTTTAAATTCTCGTCGAAATTTAAATTATTTATAGAAATAATAAAATTCTTCACAATCATTCAATTATTTTCATATATATAATAAAATCTTTCGCAGAAATTTAATTATGTTTAAAAATAATAAAATTCTTTGTAGGAGTTTTCTTTTTAATGTTTGAATAATTTTATTTAAAAATTGTAAAAAATAATTTTTATTTTGAAAGAATTTCAGTTGTAATTTTTAGAAATAATTAAATTTTTCAAAAGTTTTACATTGATTAAAATTATTAAAAAAAATTAAATTCCTGTGGAAAAACAAATGGCAATAAGTATGTAAATATTAATTTTAAAAAAATTATTTAAACTTTAAAAAATTTTTTTTTGACTTTTCTAAAAAATTATAATAAAAATTCTTTCAAAAATTTAAATTATCTTTAAAAATAATAAAAAATGTTCTCCGAAATTCAATTATTTTCAAAAATTATCCTCAATTCAATGACTTTTAATATTTAATATTTTAATAAAATTTTCAAAAAGAATTTAATTATTTAATAAGAAAAATGTTAATAAAATTTTGTGCAAACATTTAATTATTTTTATAAGTAATATAAATTTTACTGGAATTCAATTATTTACAAATCTTTTATATTTATAAAAAATTGTTTGTGATAATTCCATGATTTTCATGAAAAAAAAATTTTTTTATAGAGATTCAATTATTTTCACAAATAATAAAATTCATTTTAGGAATTCAATTATTGTTATAAGTAAATAAAACTCGTCTCAGAATTTCAATTATTTGTAATACAATTTTAATTAAATTTCTCAAAGAATGTAATTTTACTAAAGAATATCATTATAATTCGTCGAAAGAATTCAATTATTTAAAAATAATTTCTTTTTTCTCGTACAAAAATCCAAGTTTTATAATAATTAAACATGGCCTAGTGATAAAATAATTACTTTATTTTATATTATAAGAGTATTGTACTTCTTAAAAATTCTTTTCATTATTTCAATTCAATTATTATTTTTAAGAATTTTTCACTAACATTTTTCATTAAATCAATTAATTTTAATAATTTTTGAAATAGTTTAAATACAAAAAATAATTGAATTATATTGCGAAAAAATTTATAAAAAATTCGCAAATAATTGAATTTCTTTGAAATTTTTATTATTTTATGAAACTAATAGATATATTAAAAATCATTATATTGAGGAAAATTTTTGAAAATAATTGAAATTTTAATTTTGCCAAGAGTTTTATTGAAATTTTTGAAAATAATTGAATTTCAGAGAAGAATTTTATTATTTCTGTAGATAATTGAAATTTTGACGAGAATTTTGAAAAAATCTTGAACATAATTTAATTTCTACGAAGAATTTTATTACTTGTGAAAATAATTAAATTTTTGCAATTATTTGTAATTTCTTTAAAATTCTCTAAATTGTATTGTACAATTTACGAAATTTTTGTCCATTTTTAATTAAATTACGGATTTACGAACCTAGTTCGAGCCCTGTACTAACCATATAATAATATAATGTTAAAAAAAATTATTTCAATAAATTTATATTCTTTGTAATTAAAAATCACTAAAATTTAATAGAATTCATGTAGAAATAGAATTTAAATTGTTAAATTATTTTCAAAAGTAATAAAATTCTTAGTAGAAATTTAATTATGTTCAAAATTTTTTAAAAATTCTCGTCAAAATTTCAATTATCCTTATAAATAAAAAATAAATAATAAAATTCTTCTTCGAAATTCAATTATTTTAAAAAATTTTAATAAAATTATTGTCAAAATTTCAATTATTTTCAAAAATTTTCCTCAATTTAAATTTAATAGAATCGTTTTAGTGAAGTTCTATACAATATTCACTAGAATTTATATAGAATGATTCTAGTGAAATTCTATAGAACTTTTTCAGCTGGGGAAGAACTTTTGAAAAATTAATTGATTGAAAGAAAAATTTCAGTGGGAAATTCTTAAATAAAAAAAAAAATAATAAAATACAAATAAATAATAAAATAAATAATAAATAATAAAAAAATAATAATTGAATTAATGAAAATTTTTTTTAAGAAGAATCATTCTAGGGAAATTCTGTAGAATATTCACTAGAATTCATATTTTAGAATGATTCGAGTGAAATTCTATAGAACTTTTTCAGCTGAAGAAAGAAAACTTAATAATCACTTTCCATTGTTATTGCAAAAAGGAAAGAAAACTGAATAAACACTTTCCATTGTTATTGCAAAAACGAAAGAAAACTAAATAAACATTTTCCATTGTTATCAGGTCTTCACCTATTGGGAGCGACAAATTCCTTGTTCGGCTCAATATTCGCCCCCCTGCTTCCGCAATCGTCTTGGCTCTACAATCCCCTCTACCACACGCAGCAGTACATTCTCGAACCCGAGTGGCACGCTCTCGCTCTCCGAATGGCGCAGCATCGCCTCCAAAGACCCGATCAAGTCCGCCTTGAGGAGCTGAAAAAACTCCGAGCGAACAGCGGAAGTCCCGATTCATCAGTCGCCAAGGAGGAAGCACCGCACGAAACAGAGAATCATCAACCTGAATCGCCCGACGGAAGTATCGAAGTCGACGATCGTAACGATCAAGAAACGAAGAGTCCAACAAAAAGTGAACGAGAATCACCGGTATTGTCGCCAGTGCGAAGTGAACAGGACGAGAGCACCGCCTCCAGGGATCTCACCGAAAAGGAAAGTCAAATCCGCCTGCGTCCCAGTTTGGAGAATCTCAACGAATCCGAAATCTACGATCAGGAGCAAACCGTCTCATGTCGTGTTGACCTGCCCATTAAAATCCGCGTCGAAGGCTCCGTCGATCTCAGTACAAAACGAGGTCAGGACAAGGAGAATGTGGGACAGGATCTCACCACTCGAAAAAAGGACGACGACTCAGAGAGAATTTCGAACGATTCCCTTCGAACCAGAAGGGACCGAAGTCCAAAACCCCGACAAGTCTGGAGACCCTACTAAAAAACATTCAGAATTCTATATTCTCAACGAATATATAAAAAAAAATTTTTTTAATAACTTCATCAATATTATTATCTAAAATTTACCCTTGGTTTTCACTACAAACCAAAAAAAAAAAAAAAACTCAAGGACTAACCAGGGTTTCGACTGTACTGTAAATAAAAATAAAAACCCTCTATTCATTCTTTATATATAGAAAATATTTCCTTTTGTAAATGTTACGATAATTTTTCTTGAGAAACTTTTTTCTTGACTCGATGTAAAATTCAAATGAAGAAAATTCCTATTGATGTGAATTTTCTTGTTATAGTTGTCATTGTAAATAAATTTAGATGTATACGATTTCCGTCAGGCGCATCTATTACATGGTGATGAAAATAAAACTTGTTTTTAGAAGCAAGGAGAAAAAATTTTAAATAGTCGAGAAATGGTTGCGAAATTCAATATGTTAAAGGTGAACTTCGAAGGCCTTTTTCTCGATGCCTATGTTCTTAGACGTTCGTTTAAGAGATTAATCCAATCAAATACTGTTTACAGTAAACAATCGAATAAATATTCTTCGTTCCAAAAAAAAAAAATTGTGTCTTTTCATAAAACAATGCAGAAACTATTTTCCTTTTATCCTCTAGAGAATGTTAACAATTTTTCAAACCAAGGAGAATTTTTTTCATTTTTTTCGTAACTGGATGTAAAATTCAAATTAAGAAAATTCCTAACAGCGAAATTTCTATTTGAGAATATGAGAATTTAACAAATTTTAATATATTAATATCTTAACATCTTAACATATCTTATCTCTGCAAATAAAATTTAATATCAGGGAATTTATTACCATTTATAATCAGATAAGAAGTTACAGTTTATCAAGTACAAGTAAATTTTCTAATTTTTTAATAAAATATTTTAGAATTATTAATTTTTTAGCTTAAAAAAATGTAGTTTTTTGGAATTAATTAACAGTTGGAAGTTATTTCAAAAACTTGAAGTAATTCAATAATTGATACTTTCGTCTGATTGTAGTCTATCTTTACTACTTACAAACAGTAAACTTAAAAATTTTATTTAATGAATTATTTTTCATTTTTTCTTTATAAATAAACTTTGAAATTTAATTTAACGAATTATTTTTCATTTTTTCATTATGAATAAACTTTGAAATTTAAATACCGATATCTGATGGAACTGAGCTTTAATACTTTTTAGTACTAACATTACAGGAAAATAAAATTTTTTTTACGTCAAGATTATAAAGAAAGTTTTGTTTGACTAGAAACTTATACTATATAATTATTATATATTATATATTATAACTTATACTATATAATACTAAATATTATATAATTAATAATTGAAAAGTAATTACTTATGTCTGATTAAAACATACTTTTACTACTTAGGTTTCCTATACTTTTAAAAATTTAAATAGTTATGTCTGACGAAAGCTAATTTTTACTACTTACACTGCAACATTTTAAAAATATTTATGTCTGACGAAAGTTAATTTTACTACTTAAACTGCAACATTTTAAAATATTTATGTCTGACGAAAGTTAATTTTTACTACTTGCACGGGAACATTTTTTTAAATATTTATGTCTGACGAAAGCTGATCTTTACTACTTACACTACAGCAGTATGGGAAAATTTCTCCCCTTATTCTCCCTCTCCCTCCTCCTTTCGAACATCAATGTCTTACTTCTCATTTTTATAGATTCTTCAATTCTCTGCTTTCTCTCAAAAATACTCCATTTAATGACTTTATTTTAAATTTCAGTTTTAATGAAATTATTCTAAGAAACAATTTTATAATTACATTAATTACTGTATTCAATTTTTTCATTTATTTATTTAAGTAGTGAACGAGCTTACAAATTTTATTGATTGCATATTTTTATTCATAATAAATTTTATCAATTGTATTTTATTTATTTATTTTATTTATCAATTCTATTCAAAATAAATTTTTTAATTATAAATTTTATTAATTTTAAATTTTATTACTCGTATATTTTATTTACTGTATTTTTTAATTATTGTAAATTTTATTTACTGTATTTTTTAATTACTGTAAATTTTATTAACTGTATTTTTTAATTACTGTAAATTTTATTTACTGTAGCTCTTATATTCAGTACCATTTCATTACATGCAGATTATGTAAATTGTTAGTTTTATTCACTAGATGTATTATTTACTGTAAATTTTATTAAATTTAAAAATTAGGAAAATTTTTATAAAATGTCTGACTATAATTGACTTTTACTACTAGAGTATTGTCCGAAAACTTTGTACTATGTTTCACTACTAAAACTAAAGATGCAAGACTATGAAAGAGATTTTCGTTAATGATGTACTTATAGTACATTTAATATAATTTGAAACCATTTATCTACATTCGTCTGATTAACATTTACTTTTACTACTCACACTTTGGAAGGTTTTGAAAATTAAATTAGTTCCAGCTAATTAAACCTGATGTTTACTATTTAGAATTATATATCATATACAAATACCGAAATATGTGGCAACAATTAATGGAAGAAATATTATGGCAATATTTCTGCAATTTTTTATTCCGTCTGACTAAACCTGCCTTTTACTACTTAGATTTATTGCAAATACCACAAGGTATGGTGAATATTTCTGCAATAAAAAAAAATATTTCTAAAAAATATTTCTAAAAAAATTGTCTGCAAAATTGATTTTGTCTGACTTAAACTTGACTCTTACTACTTAAAACTATGGTAAATATTACAAGAGATGATAAATGTTTTTGGAAATTATTCGGGCAGTATTGATGGAATTTTTTATTTTGGCTGACTAAACCTGACCTTTACTACTTAGTTTTATATCTAAATACCACAACATAAATATATGAACATTGCTGCAATATTGATTCTGTCTGACTAAACTTGACCTTTACTACTTAAAAATAGACCATTTTTGATTATGTCTGACTAGATTTGACTTTCACTACTTGGTACTATGATAAAAATACCATGAAATATGTTAAACATTACTGGGAAATATTTAGAAAGTATTAATTGATTTTTTAATATGTCTGACTGAACGTGACTATTACTACTTAGTTTTATATCTAATGTCACAACACTTGATAAATATTGCTGCAATATTAATTCTGTCTGACTGAACTTGACCTTTACCACTTAAAAATGTACAATTTTTGATTCTGTCTGACAGAACTTGACCTTTACTACTTAAAAATAGAAAATTTTTATTACGTTTGACTAAACTTGACATTCACTACTTAATATCACACCAAAAATTCAGGCCATATTAGTCTGACTAAAATTGACCTTTACTACTTAAAAATATGGAATTTTTTATTCTGTCTGACTAAACCTGACATTTACTACTTAATATTATCCCAAATATTCAGGCCACATTGCTGCAGTGTTTCATCAATATTTCCACCGTAATTTACACAATTTGAATAATAAATTCCATTAGAAAACAAAATTACACGCAACAGAGAGAGAATCCAATACCCAATAAATCAATATTTTAAACAGTTACACATATATATATATACTAGCTGTCGTACCCGTCTTCGACGGGTTGTAGTTTCTGATAATACACTTAACAGTGTATCTACCAACCTAGAAAACCGGAAAATAGCCGGGAATTTGATTTGACAGGGAAAAAATAATAGTTAGTTACTATTGTCTATTTCATTAGGAAAATAATACCATTTGAAACAGTGACCGACTTTTTATTATCAAATTAGTTATTTTTAACTAATTCAAATGAAGAAAACAATATTTCTCAATTTGTAGTACTTTAATCAATATAATGTATTAAAATCAATCTAAAATTTCCTCCAGTTTTTTGAGTTATAGTACAGTCTAATTCGAACTAATTGTATAGCAAGTAGATCCAGTTTTTCTCTGTTACATTAAATTCCCTGATATTTTACGTCTTTTCTGGTTGGTAGACACCCTGTTAAATGTATTATTAAAAAAAAACCCGTCGAATAAACCAGGAAAAATTTGGACAAAGCCGGAAATTGTTTTAAACCAAAATAAACACCGTGTTTAACTTTTGTCTTTACATTGATCAAGATATCTCTAAAAGTTAAATCAGAGAGCCCACAAATACTACTGAATTAAGCTTCATAGCAATTGGTATCAATTATAATTTTTTCAATTTTTTGATATTCAAAACATTTTTATACTTACATCTTCGTTATAAGAAAGTATTTTTGAAAAATTATGCTAAAATGTGACTAAATAACATGTAATATTCAATTATATAAAGTTTAAAAGCTATCCATATTTTTATATTTCCATTTTAGTTATAAAGTATTATTTTTTGCAAAATTATGCTAAAATGTTAATAAATAACATGTAATACTCAACTATAGAAAGTTTAGAAGCAATCCATGAAAAAATATAAAATTTAGAAATTATTTGTGTTAAATAAATTCATTTATTAGAGTCAAGTATTTATTTAATTAATCCAATTAAGATTTATTTGATTTAACTAAATAAAATTATTTAAACGAAATAAATTCTTATTAGATCGAAATAAAAACTTTTTAAATAAGATATTATTTTTCAAATAATTATAATTACTTGAATCATATAACTTTTTTTAGTGTAGCTATAGTAAACTAAAAGTTATTAATGTGAACGAACATTATCTATATTAATAAAATCAGATTACTATCTGTACATTGCTCCAAACTTGAAAATTTTTATATATTTTTTCGTTTTGAGACATTAGAATTCTAAAAATGTAAAAAAAAATTTCTGTCTGTCTGTCTCTGTCTGTATTCAAAACTTTGTTCGCGCATCAATTGAATACGGTTCAACCAATTAAAGTGAAATTTGGCAGTCTATTAGGTATTAACGTAACTTACAATAATAGCCTTATCCGATTAAAAAATATTAACTTGAACGAAAGTTATGACATTTTTCCAAAAAATTCGAAAAATCAAAAAAATGCAAATTTTTTATCTTTTGTAAAATGAATGCAAAACTATCCTTAGCTAACTTTTTTAGATAAATACAACCCATTTCTACAATAAAATTTTTAAAAAAGACGTATTTTGAAATTTTTTTTCGTTTTTTTAGATCAACTTTTTTCTAAGAAAATAGTGATTTTTAATCTTTAAGCAAGCTTTTCAGGAAAAATTATTAAAGTTTTTTATTTAAAGATCAGTATGTAAAGTAAGAAATTTGCTACATTAAACAAAAATAATTAAGCTAAATGCCATAAAAAAGAAGGAAAAATGTTGAATTTTAAGAAATTCGGTTTTTTGAATTTTTGCTAATTTTCCATAATTTTAGATTTTTTACCGAAGGGTGGAGACTATTGAATAAGTAAAGTATTTTTTAAGAGCACAAAAATAATAAAGCTAAATGCCATAAAAAGAAGGAAAAATGTTGAATTTTAAGAAATTCATTTTTTTGCATTTTCGCTATTTTTCCATAATTTTAGATTTTTTACCAAAGGGTGGAGATAACAAATTAGGTAAAGTATTTTTGAAGAGCCCAAAAATAATAAAGCCAAAAGCCATAAAAGAGAAGAAA